GGGAGGGAGCTGAGCGGATTTGGCCCATCAATTTGGACATGGTTTTTTTAATCGGCCGAGGGGGGAGGGGGGTTGCACACGCGCCAAATTAATTTATGGGGATTTGCTTAGATGGGGTGTGGTAGGCACACGCCCACAGCCTCCTCTATTTAAAGAGAGTGAGTGGGGGGCGTTCGAGAGAATTAATGTGTGCAGATGCTTTCCTTTTTTTTCTAGAAAAATTCTAAAATGACTCAAAATATGGGACTAACAGGGAGGACATGTAATGTGTCCCCCTTCTATTGCATAATGAGTTGATCATCATTAATGATGATCATCTCATTATGCAATAGGAGGGGGCATCTCATTATGTAATAGGAGGGGGACATATCACATGTATGTCTTCTCTGTTGGTTCCATATTTTGGGTGCATGTAGCAAAGCTCTTTTTTTAATAATGAAAATATGATAAAAAGTAAAAGTAAGTTAGTCCCAGCACTGAAACCAAGTTGGTTTTGGCGAAAAAAGTTTCCAAACTTCACGGGTAGGGCTGGGCATATTCGGTTCGGTTCGGTTTTATGCCCAATCCGTATCCAATCCGAATTTTTCGGATGCTCAAAACTCTCATCCAAATCCAGATTTTTTCCCCTTCATCCGAATATTCGGCCCAACCGAAATTCGGTTCGGTTCGGTTCGGTTCGGTTTCGGTTTTGAATTTGCAAAGACTTCTATCCAAAGACTTCTGTTGTGAATTTGCAAGCTGGGCATTGTCCTCATGATGAGGTTCCTGAGCTCGCCAACAAAGCTTTATTAGACTGGTTATCATCTTTAGAATAAAGTTTTGAGTTGATATAATTACGCAGAGAACTGATGTTTTAAAGATGTTGTTCATATAATACAGCATGCTTATCTCTTGTAAGTATCATGTACATAACACATTTTGTGATTGATTTGAATCTTATGTAATTCTCAAGATCTTTTCTGCGAAATTTTTTAACTAAAGTTTAAGTTTATTTAATTACACGGGGGGTGATGTTTTGCATGATATTGTTCATATAATGTAGCATATGCATCTTTTGTAAGTGCATCATGTGCATAACAAATTTTCTGAATTGATTTGAATCTTTACTTAGTTTTCAAGGATATTTTTCTGTGATATTGCTGTACTCATTGCTTGAAACTGCTCCTTGCGTCGTTTGAATCTATTGGATGATAACAAGAAAAGTTTTGAGGTATAAGTTTAGTCTCTAAACCGCCCAACAAAATTCGGGTCGGTTTTTTTTTGGGCGGTTCAGGGGTTCAAACCGGATCCAAATCAATTTAATTCGGTTCGGGCAGTTTAGAGACTTCTTCTCATCCATTTAATTCGGTTCGGTTAACCGGTCCGTTTTCTCGGGCGGTTTTTTCGGTTGAACCGGTTTTTTTTTTGTTTTTGCCCACCCCTAGCGATGCCTGTGCTTAATTATAAGCCTACACATATAACCATTTGTGGCTAGAGGAATTAAAAATGTTGGAACAGTGCATGCGTGCAAGAGAGAGAGAGAGCTGAGCTGAAGCATTTCGGCCGAGATCGAGAGATATTTAACATCGACACGCAAAGGCGAAAACAAATTAAGGGTCTCCTCAAATCCAGGTGTGAACGCGAGAGATCGGAGAGAGATGCGTTGAGAGGAGAGAGAGAGAGAGAGGTGCGGTCATCAAAGCGAGGGTGGCGCGTGGCCGCCCCGCGCATAACTGAGGATGGATATTACTTGTTTGTTGGAAAAGTGGAAAATATAATTTAAAAAATTAAAATCGAATTTTTAAAGCTGCGGGTGGCCAGCTAGGCTGATCAAAGCGAGGGTGACGTGCTGATCCAACAAACAAAGCACGTCGGAAGTTGTTATCGCTGCTGATCCAAATCCTGATCGAACAAGCACGATTCGTCCAGCTCGAGCGTTCGAGCATACGATCTCATGAAGCTAGTGCGCCTTGATTTGTTTTCCTTATTTATATATAATTAGTATTAATTAGCTAGTGCGTTTAGGGTTTTCCAATTAAAGCAACGAATTTATTCCTTCGATCGACTTTTTTTAATTTAGAGGAGGAGGAGGAAAAGTTAGAAGATTATAGTTTCGATTAATGAATCTGGGGCCTATCCAATATTCACCTTCTTCGAAACAATTTTGCATGTCAAGCCACGGTTTAGTTTATCGGTTTTTCTATAGAGTGCTCATGGGCACTCTATAAAAGAAGAGAGAGATAGAGAGAAATATATGAGTGCTGCTACGAAGACCCAAAATATGGGATCAAGAGAGGGGACAGGTGAGGTGTCCCCTCCCTATTGCATAATGAGTTGGCATGGCCAACTCATTATGCAATAGGGAGGGGACACCTCACCTGTCCCCTCCCTTGGTCCCATATTTTGGGTCATTAAATCATTTTTCGAAATATATTATGCACAGAAATTAATGCAAATCAAAGGGGTCATGAGCTATTCATTTATCTTTATCTCTCCCCTCCCTTATAGAGTGCTCATGGGCACTCTATAGAAAAACCGTAACTATAAAACAAAACTCAGTTGCACTATGATTGTTTTCTTCCTTAACTACACCCAGCCATGCACCTCAAAACCCTTACTCTCCATGTGCTAGAAGTCAACTACTATAGGATAAAGTTAGTTGAGAGATCTTTAGAAATGTGTGTAGCTACAGTTCCACTAGCTACAACTAACCATTCAGTAATACCTTTTATAACAGAATTGATAATAGAGATATGTGGGATGTTAAGTTTATCAAAAATGCAGCTATTCCTCGAATTCCAAATGTTCCAACAGACTAAAGAAAAATATGGTACACCATTAGAAAGGATACCCATAAGTTCATCAAAAGATTATGGCCATTAGAAAGGAAGAAAAATGTTTGAAAAATAGCTCCAAACTAGTCTTGTCATTGAACAAGAGAAGAAGAGGTGTTCTCTAGATTCGAGCTGTTCATCACAGAAGGGACACAAAAGATCTCCTAATTCCCAACCTTTTTCGACAAGATAGTCTTTAGTATTTAATTTGTTTTTGGATAACAACCATGTGAAGAATTAAACTTTGCTAGGAAGGATAGAGTTCCACACAATTCTGAACAAAGGGATGAGAACTCATCTGGAATTCAAAAATGTAGAGAGAGTTAACCGTAAAAATGAATTGGTTAGTGGCTAAGATACACTGCCTAGTTGTTTAGTTAGAGAGAAAGAATCAATTAATGCCAAAAGGTATGCTTTTGAGTCTTGCATCATAGAAGAGGGACTTCTTCTTAAAATAGGGCGCCAATGCCATTTGTGTCCTTGCATGTATCCCTGATGTCTGACAGAGGCAATATGTGATAAAGAAAGATTGTATAGAGACGGAAAGAGACTAGCCAAATTATTACTACCAAACTTTCAAGAAATGAGATTTAGAAGAGCTTCCCTTTGTGGAATGACAGCATTCCAAAGGGTATAGATGTAAGCACTGGTTTTCATGGATTGAATGCTAATACCCCTATTGTTGTAGAGTTAATGTAAGAAATTACCAACATGGGAATCTCTGCTTAGACACTTCCAAAGCCATTTAGAGATCGAAGTGATATTGAAAATTTTCAAATCCTTGACTCCTAATCCCACTTCCTTTTTACTTAAAAAGACCGTTTTCCAACTGACCAAACGCTTATATGCTGCAGAGTTTGCTTTGCCAGACCATAGGAAACTTCTTCTTATTTTATCAAACTCCTTAATCAACCACTTGGGCAATCTATGGAAAGACATAAAGTATAATGGAGCGGACGTAAGTACAAAATTTAAAAGAACAAGCTTTCCACCAAACGGTAGGAAATTGCCTCTCCAAGATTCAAGCTTCTCGTGGTCTAAAACAGGCTGTCAATCTGACTTTCTAAGTTTACCATATTTTAATGGAAGACCAAAAGATACTTGATAGGTAAGTTTTCCAACTTACAATTAAGAGAACATGTTGAGTTGTTACCTCTGTGAGTCAGCCTCAGAAAGAAAGGCAGTTGATGAAGATGATGAGAGGTAGGGAGCACTAAAAGCAAATTCCGAACAAAATAAGAAAAACAGAAAGCAAACAATGACGAGCATAGAAACCAATTTGGTTATCAAGTTCAACAACATGGCATTATACCAAAACACAATATTCACTTAATTATACAAAACACCCATATAATTAAACTAGAGATGGTTACAGATAGTTGTCTAAACATATACATAATGCGCTACTATTTACAAATCCCACAAGGGCTCTCTATCCATTGAAACATAAACCAAGAGGAGGGTGACCTTGACTGAAATGCCATTGGCGGCTTGCAGTTGTGTTAGATGGCAATTACTTAATTTTATGCCATTTCTGTACATGGGTATTTTCCACTGAGAAGCTTAAGCTAATTCACAATTTGGTACCGGTAATCTGGCCCTCAAAATAGCACTCAAATGTCTTTTTATTCTAGAGTAGTTCGCTTTAGTGAATCCAATAACTGAACTCGACTCTGAGATAGTAGAATATCCTTCATGTCTTTATAAGTTTTGAGCTCCTCTAGTGCGTCAGATGTCTTCCTCGACACAAAAAAACTTGAATTTCCTACTTCAGCATTTACCTCAGACCTCGAGGATTGACATAAATAGCTCTGATCTTGGCGCAGAGGGGCAGCGGTCCTAAGCATATGAACAAGAGCGCCAACAGCAGCATCCTGTGACTTGTGTGATGAATTATATGAATTTAAAGATTCTGGCACTTCCTTTCCATCAAGATTTCTGTTTTAAGAAACAAACATGCAAACACAATATTACAAAACCAGTTTACAGATCGACCACTTGCATGCAAAGCACGATTCTGAACTTATTATGAAAGTAGCGGTATGTATGAAGCATGGTTTACAAAGCAAAACAATGTCTACAAAATTCTATTGTGGAAGGTGAAACAAAAATCAGGAAACTGAATCACATAATCCCGTACCACTGCCAGGGGTATAAAGGGAAGTTCTATATACACCTTTCCAAAGTACACATGATAAACAAAAAAGCCTTTTCTCATTCATTTGCATTGAACTGTGAATTCTGATAACGTAGACCTTTTTGCATTCTCTCAAAACTTTCATATGAGATTGCTTTCTTTCTCAAATGAAACCACGGAACAATCTTGAGTTCGACATTGTTGGTACACCTACTTTGCTTTATCTTTGAATTTTGCAACTAAGTAACAGGGTAAAAGTATCTGTTTCATCATAGATGTCATTTACATATTGGACACGACAATTCTAACCATGTCATTCCCACTTCATTCGCTACAGTGTAAGAATTACTGTCATCAATGTGTTGTGTCTTGTCGGTATCCACCACTTATCCATGTTCATGTGTCCATATTCGCTGTGTGCTTCATTTTTCAGGACGCACGACTATTTTAAAGATAACTCTTTACTTTCATTAAAAGAGGTTGTGAATAATTTGGACATATCAAGAAAGTTCATTTGGAATTTAAAATGACTATTAACCTTGTAACAGCAGATTTCCATGTAGAGAAGGAAATGTGACAGGATAAGTCAAACTTCAAAGTTATCATGCTTCTTTTACTGCCTCACTGCTTGCGTTTCTAGGCTCACCTCTAACTCATGTTGCTCCACTAACTACATCCTCACCCTCTGACCAGGCAAGTTCACATTCCCAAAGCCACAGTTCACAGTATATTTGCTTAATCACATGAATCAAAGGTATGTAAAACACTCCAGTCACTGTGTCAACATATTTTCTTACTTACATGAATCAAAGATAGGTAAGACACTCCAGTCACTGCGTCGACTAAGCTTGTTAAAAAAGATCTTTGACCGACCTTAAGTTGGTCAAAGCTTGGAAAAAAATGTATACTCTATATCCCATCACGTCTTCGAATCTATCAGGGCGGTTTGCCCATTACTGTAATATTAACTCCCAAACTTTCAGGAAATCCAGTTGAACTTGTCAAATTATAATTCACACAGTAACACTTAAATAATGACATTCATCCGCACTGAAATATGACATATCATTAAGGACTTAGCCTTTCCAATAATGGAGAATGGCACTGCACCGACGCCAGCCAGGAAAAAAAACTATACCAGGCTAAACAAAGGAAGGATAGGAAGGCAGGATGGGCAGCATAAACCAAGAAAGACGCATAATGTGCAACAGCCAGTGCACCAATATTCATCATAATGATGACTGATCAAGACTTTCAAACCTCAAGTTAACAACAGTAATGAAATATTATAGCTGTGACTATTCCTATACTTAATTAAAACCATTGAGATGCTCAGAGCACATGCATGAAGGGTGGAAGGAGTACCAAATAGTTTCTCCTCCTTATACCACTTCACAACTAAGTTATCATATGATCATGCAAAAATGATTGTAACATGCTATTGTTACATGACTGAAAAATGAAGGGTCCCTGACATTCCTCGTAAGGTGCTACATGGTTATTCCTAGGCAAAGGGTCAAATTTAGGAGTCGTTCTGAAAAGTTTGCATCCTGAGTCTCTGACTATAATCATCAACATCAAGCCTTTATTAGATCAGTGAGGACAACAAGCTGCAAAAAGAGAAGGCTCCATGGAAAGACTGTCAATTGCTAACCCTGGATCCCATGACACTTTATAGATAAACATTTCATTGAAATGATGATAACAAATTTTCACAGAAGGGCAACTATGAATTACTTGACAACTACTATTACTACTAGAAATGCAGTTGAGTAAATACTATGGTCGTCAAAAGGAACTCCCAATATGACTTTTTAACAAAGGCACCTCCATTTAAATAAAAAAACATGCCACAACAAAATCCTTCAACACAGAAACTTGAGCTCAGGTACATGAATCCTTTTCTTTAAATATTCTTCACCTACCTATATGAAAAATTCAAACATATGCTAAATGAAACTAACTGACAAGCTCTTTAGGGACATTGGAAATTCAAGTTAAAAGAGAGCATAGGTCTTTTGGCAAGAAAGGGTCGGTACAGTTAAAGGAAGAGTATGGTATTTCAATCATTCTGTCCATGTATAAAGAATATATAAGAGGCTAATCACCCATTTTCAGCCTTCTTGACTCTTGCTTCTTTCCTTGTCTCTCATGTTTCTATATTTCTTCTAGTTTTATATTTACGGTGTGGTACCAGAGCAGCCTTAATCAACACCTTGATGAATGTGACTGTTGCCATCATCCTGTATGTACTTGATCGCTATTCAATTTATATATTTCTCTTTGTCTGTATGGTATTTCATCAACTCTTCCTATTGAAGAGGAGTGCTAGCCTTATGCCATCCGTTCGATCAAGACAAAGTAAAAAAGAGGCAACAGGACGCAACCAGGGGGTGCGGATTGCAAAAAGAAAGAAAGAAAAAAGGAAAAGAAACAAAGGGAAATGTTCAGTGATAGTTATCCATATACTTGAACATCAAAGTAGAAGGATTCAAATTGACATCTTCTTCAAGGCATTTAGTAACCGAATGTAAAAGGAGAATTGCGTGTCTGTTTGTAACCAAGGGAAAGTACAGAGAAAACAAAGGTTGCTCTGTATTTGACTCATTATGGGACATTTATGGATAATGTGTAATTGAAGGCTGAGCAGTGGATCACTCCCCTAGTTATTCTTGCATCGCCTTCTTTCCTCGTTTCTCATTTTGTATAGTTCTCTCTTAGTTTTATATTTATGATGGTGCCAGAGCAACAATATTAGTCCACATCCTCAGGAATGTGAATATTGCTTGCATAATAAATTTTCATCAACATCCAAAGTTGTCCTCCTTATGCACATGCTCGATCAACAACAACGATGCAATTTATATTCTTCCTTGTTCTATATGGTACATCATCTACTCCAATCCTCTCGAAGAAGAGTGGTTTCCAAATTAAATTAGGGGAAAAAGAAAAGGAAATAAAGAATAAGATTGATAAATGAGCGGGAGATTGCCAGAAGATATAGACAAGAAAGAAAAAGAAAAAAAGAAAGGGGAAGGGTCAATGATATTTATCCATATCCTCTATTTGATATCTCAATCACATTCCATATCTTCCACAAATATCAATTGAATTTCAACTGTATCTTGTTATATTCCAACCATATCCTCTCATATCTCAATCATATATTCTTCTTTCTCCATCAGAAAATAAGTTGAGGTATCATATCTCAACCATATCTTCTTTCTCCATTAAAAACTAAGTTGAGGTGGAGAGGAACATGCAAGGTTTATAAGATAATATCTCTTTTCTCTATATAAAGATTTTTCTATGCACCTAGCAAAGTTGAGAGGGCAGAATAGAGGACTCAATAAAAAGTTAAACATTCTTGTATACCTTTTATACATGACCATAATTCACAGCGTGTCAGACACAATTCATATTATTTAAAAAGTAAAAGAAATAAATGTGGACAAGGTTCAATATTTATCCATATATTTCTCTCTCTCATACTTAATGTCTCCGCCATATCTCATTGATATCATATGATACCTCGACCATAACTAGTCATATATCAACTCTATCCTATTATCTACCTATTTATGGAATAAAACACACTCCCTTTAAAAATACGAGTTAGAAAAAAACTTTCCATGGTCAATATTACCCTTTACTACTTTGAATGTTTCATTTAAATATTACTCTATTGTAATCATAATTATATCATATCATAATCCCATATGAACTACCTACATGTCAATAATATAAAAAAATAAGATTAATAAAATACATGAAACAGCTCCACTGTATTAATTTGTTAAGATAAAGAAGCAACATACCCCCAAAAGTTTAAAATTACACAAAACATCCTGACATCTCAAAACTTAAAACAACAAACATAAAATCCGGAAATTAACAGTAAACTCTAAAGAATTTAAAATTTACAATTAACCCTCAACATTTCAAAAAATTGTAGAAACACCCTCAAATTTTTAAATAATAAAAAAAGCACCATAAAATTCTAAAATTTTAAAACTTGCAAACAACAAAGATAAATTCAAGGGCTTACCATTAGGCAGCTGAAAATTTACAATTTAAAAAAATAACCTCAAAGTTATAAAAATTACAAAAACTCCTTCAAAAGTTAAAAATCACAAAAAACCATGAAATTTCAAAACCTATAACTAGTAAATATCAAATCTAGAAATTATCAGCAGATCACTAAAAATTTAAATTTTACAATAGATAATCCAAAGTTTCAATAATTGTAAAATACACTCTTAAAATTTTAGAGTTGCAAGAAATATTCTAGCATTCGAAAACTTACCACCAACAAATGAAACATAAAAATTACAAGCACCCAACATAAAATTTAAAATTTTTAAAGAACACTCTCAAAGTTTTAAAATTTGTAAAACACACCCTTAAAAATTCAAAATCACAAAAAAGACTAAAATTTCAAACATTATCAAAGAAAAGAGTAGTTGTTTGATATTCTTTCATTAAGATATAAAGAAATTTAACTTCCAATTTAAGGTTTACTATTCCTTTGTAGCATCTAAAAACAGTCAATTTTATCAAAAAAAGATAAAGGTGGAGAAGAATTGATGTCGGCTCAATAAAAAATAAAATAGAAGGAATGAAAAACACTATTTTCTGACTATTTTATAGAATAGTTACTTTTTTAAGTAAATTAAGAATCTTCAGAAGAGATTTTCATAAAAAAAAATTAGTATTTTTATATGCTTATGCAGATGCTTTAATCATATAAAAGTATGCTAGAATTAGCATTAATCTTTAGTTTATAATTTTTTCAAGCCTATAAAGGATTAGGAACACACCTCGTATTTTCGTTTGTGTTGTTTTAGCCCACTTTTAACCAATCATCTTGTCTTATTAGCTTTAATTATTCATCTTCCTATTATAACACTATTTTTAAAATGTTTTATACTTTTACAAAACTATACTTTCTCATGTCAAGCTTGGTTTCATATCGATCCAAATAACATGATATTTTAAATTAGCTTCGAATTATATTTATTTCCTGTCAATTCAATTGTTAGCGTGAAAATTTTAATTGGATGTAGCTCATTTAAACGAACATTAAAGAAAATAAATAATCACAATGCTAAAGTTTAGAGACATAAGTGAGCAAAAACCATCAAAATAGAACCTAGAAACAAATTTTAGTAAGGAAACAAATCAAATATACTAAATCATAGTATTTAACAACGTGCATTGCACGTTCATAAAACATAGTTAAGGGATAAATAAACAAGGGGGTTTTATAGGAATCTCTTATATGTGTATAGTGGACATTGGATACGAATCAAAGGAACCTATGATATTCCCAAAGAAATTTGGAAATGTCCTAGTAATATGGGTTTCGGATGGCTGACTGGCTAATTCAACAAGATTAGTAATACTAAAAAATCCTGACTAGTGGAAGATTAGTACTTCGGTACCAGTATATACAAGAATAAAGGGATATACAAAGTTTTCCGAACTATAATGGTGTATCAAACTTATGAGCCAAAAAATGAAACTTCGGGATGAGCATAAATAAAGGAGACAAATCTATTGGGGAACCAATTCAATTTTATGCCAGGAGGTTCATTGTGGAAGTTATTTATATATTCAGAAGATTGGTGAAGTGATATAGGGAGAAGAGAAAGAATGTGTTGGAGGAGATAAATTGTTGAGTTACAGAAGGGAATAAGCATAAAGCAATTTCACTGATGTGATTTAAGGATATGTGACAGAGGAACGACAAGGGTGAGAACAATTGAAGGAGATGCAAAATATTATTTCTATTAATTGAAAATTAACGTTAGTAATGGAATAAAACCTCTGCCATTATTTTTTGTCCTAGTTATGGACGAACTTACTATCTGTGGATACATCTAGATGATATCACTTTTCCTTATTCGGTCATCTGCCGACATGGTAAGGTCCAGAATGATGTAGTTCATTGAATCAAATTGGATTCAATTGGGATGATTAAACTAGGGGAGTGCTTCTTAAGACTTTAAGTATTTAAAAAAGTAGAAAACTATCAATTACAGTAAGCGAAAATCAAACTTCACACCTGAATATCTAAACAAAAACAAGCATACAAGAACTAAAAAAATTACAGCTCAGAGCACTATCATCCTTAAAAAAATTAAATTGCAGAAGATTCAATGTGCTAAAAATATCCCTGTGCGCCTGGTTTATTATTAAATGTTTGTGTCCTTCTAAAAAATAAAAAAATAAAACAGAAGATCAATAGATTCAACTTGCTTAAAAAAATATGCCATGTGCTTTTACTTTATTATTATGCGAGCAGCTAGAAGCTTCCAGAACAAAGAAAAGTACCTAGATTGCGAATCTGATGTATCAACATCGTCCACAGCAAAAGGGCAAGAGAAGTCTATGTCATCAAGATCATCCTGGATTGAAAGTCTGCTGGAGCTCCTTGAGAACATTCGTGGTGATCCACTAGAAGAAAAAACACCGGAGAACCTTCCAGAATCATCCCTGGCATCCTTCAGCCCCTGTAAATTTTCACATGTGACAAGAGTAAGAAGCCAATTACTAAGCACATAAAAATCTTAAGTTTGAAAGCTATAGCATGCAGAAAAAAAGAGAAACAAGTGAAACTGAGGAACAAGCTTAAATAAATGAGGCTGATCTTAAGTAAATTATAACATAACCATTTTTAACTTGAAGTTATCATGCCGATGAAAATGTGGGATGCTCCATATCAAGTAAAAGTAACAGCCTTACATAATTAGTGGCTGATTTTTCAGAGATTTTTAGGTGTCTATTACTTTTCCTCTGTGACCAACAAGATGCTCCCCGGTATCAACCAGTACCTTAGGTCTTCTAAGGTATTCAATTTCTAAAGTATATAACTCTTTTCCACAATGGAAAGAAACTAGAGCCTCTAGCTAATTTGAATTCCTTTTTAATATGTCAGACAACCTCCACCTATCCAGTAAAGACCTGATGAACCAAATGTTTGTCTTAGGTTGAGGAAATCTTTGGACACACAGTCAAAATGATTTAATGGAGGACTGCTGAGAAAGTGATATAAGATGATTCAGCAGAGACAAAATACTTCCTGAAATATAAGCAGGTGAGACAAGAAAGATTGCCAGCACACATACTAAAAAGGCCTCAGATAAGTTTTCATATCCAGTTAGCATTAACTGTATGATGCAAATATGGTCAAAACAATTGATAATGATCAAAATATGGATAGGAATCAAGTATGAACACCTAGAAAGCAAAAACATGCCAGTACGGACATAAAATAATACAAAAAATGGTGTATAACTAATTCTTAAGTTGTCCATATGATAAAATAAAAATAAAAAAACTATAGCAAAATGTTGCGCTTACGACATGTGTCCTACATGCAGCCTTATGACAAAAGCTCCACCGTACTAACATAGTCTTATGGTCTATTTAATGGCTTGGAAACAAGTGGAATTTGTCCCCAAGCTCACAATAGATAAGTTTCTAATTTTAGTATATAGTAAATAAGCTAGCCTTTTAGGTTTCTAATGCTTCTCAGTCAGTGGTTCATTATTAGAAACTTTTAACTTTGTTCTTCATGTTAGCAGGGAACAAGCAAGGACTATTTAACTTTTGAAACATTTATATTTTCAAAGCTTTCTTTACAATTGCTCTGGCAGATACTCATCCCGAAAATGTTCAAATTTTATTATGGTGGTGGGTGTTTACAGGGAAATATTATGTTTCCTAGAACTGGGGTGAGTTAAAAACCTATAAATAGTATGTGAACCAATATTCAGAATAATCAAAAGAATACTTTAATTATTAAGAAGGAAAGGCTTCTAGGGGGATGATTCCCACCAAATTTATGCTTCCCTCCCACCAACATTCCTTCAATGATAGAACAGACCCAGCAAAATGATAGGATTTCAAGTTTTAGGGTGTCTAAATCATTAATGCAATAGAATGCATGCAAAATATATTGACCTTCCGTGCCCTACCTAGGCCTAAGCGGTACCTAGACCGCTTGCCTAAATCTCGGGAGTGCCTAGGGGAGCATAAGCTGCTTATGCGGACTACGTCGCCTAGGTCTTGGTCATGATTTCCTTCATTGCCGCCTCCACATTCTCTGACCTCCTCTAACATATCCGGTCTCCTACACCGACTACGAACACCTCCTTCAGCAAAAGCTCTCCTACCAATTGTTAAAAAAAAGAAATCTGCATGGGTCTCGCCTATGCAGCTGCCTAGGCGCATAACCACGCCTAGTGCTTTCTATTACATTTACAAGTAAGATTTCCATTTTTCATCCAAAAAAGGAAAAATCTGATGCAAATATTATATTGACTTGGAAGTTTAAACCTTTTGTATTTCTACTATACTTTGTCTTTTGAAGTCATTATGTAGAATTGATTTATCCTAGTTGCGAAAATAAACATCAACTACTTTCCCCATGGATTGCAGAAATAACCTATCATAATTTCATTAGACAGAGCGGTGCTTAAACAAATCATGATATTTTTGTATCATTTTTTGTGTTTGTTAATATGCCCCTTTTTTGTCACTCCTTTCTCATATTGATCCGTTTATCAGTAAAGAGGAACTTTTTCCTTAGCATCACTTGCTATTATCCCCCTGGTCAACAAGGAGAGAGTTTTCATTGACTTTCTTTCCATGAATATTCTCTAGGATTTTCATCATAACTCTTCTTAGGCATATGATACCATTGCACGATCTTCATGATAACGAAAAGCACCGGGTGTATCTGTACACTAAGGATGGATTAAATAGATTGAGGCATAAAACGTACCTTAAGACCATAGTTTTCAGATGATATATTTCTGAACAGTTACGGTGAGACTCTCATTGTTATTAAACATATATGGAAAATTATTACTCCATTCAAAGTATAATTTTGGTTTCAGAATTCATTAAGATGTGGATTTGTTTTGTGAAAGGATCCTAAGTTCATGGAGTTAGCCTTGTTTGGCATTCACTAAGCAGAAAAGAATGGTTCTCACTTCTCAATATGCATCAAATATATATATAATAGCTTGCTCGTAAACAAAACAATATAATGGCTTTGGATATCGCGTAAGTCCAAGTGTACATCAGTCAATTGAATAAGAGGAAGAGAGAAAAAATATGCATCATCACAAATTATGCATGTTCTCCATGTAAATAACGTCCATCCATTGCTTAAGTGGTGGGGCAAAAGAAGAAAACCCTGTTAAGTACACTTATCCCAAATTCAAATTGATCCAAGGGCTCTCATCCCTTGGAAACCACGCATCTAGAGGACCCAGCCACTAGATACTTTATTTGTTCTCCATACAAAAAAATATTTAATTGCCAAGAATAGAAAACAATGAGAAGAACAAATAAAAATACTTGAAATGACAATTCAGGTGAACAAAAACATGTGACACGGAGGCAGCTAGATGTATTTCTACCTTGAAGCAATTTATAGTAACTCAGTTTCATATTTATATAGCATGTAAGTTGCACAAAAGGTGCCAAAACATAAGATTCCATGTTCTTCAAACTCCACAAAGAAATATTAAAAAACAACCCATAAATAATGTGCACATGATAAAACATTTGACTACACACAACAAGGAAATATTCAAAAACCCATAAATAGTGTGCACATAATAAAACATTTGACTACACAGTATACACATACATGCACACAGGCACCCACGCACTCGCACAAGCATGCACCACAAATGGAGATAGAGGTGCAATACTTTCTAATATTATTACGATACTTCAAGGCAAGTCGAAAATGTACAAAATGAGACATCAAAAAGAACTATGTTGTTCTCAAAGGCAAATAAATAAATATGTATACTGCATAAAAAGTTGGCGGGAGGGGTAGAGTTTTTTTTTTTTTTTTTTTTTTTTTTTTGGGGGGGGGGGGGTATATCTTTGTCATGTGCAGGGATTTCCTAATATGGAAAAGATGTGGCTCAATCTCCACCAAGTGAATAAAGAAGGAAAGAAACTCACATAATTACACTTGGTTGGGATTGGGCCACATCACTATATACGAGAGAATTCCCTCATATAACTTATGATACCTATTACACACACACGCACATCCATACATATATATGCCCTACTTGCAAATAGTAAATTTATAAGGTTGGGCATAAAAAAAGTCCATTTTCCAAATTGAGATGATTATATTTTAACTATTTCCCAGATGCATCTCTTAAAATTCTATCTATGTTTTAACTATTTCTTTCTAAGTTGAGATGATTACAAGCTTAATCTATTTAGAAGCCACAACTTCATGAAACTTTTTCCTGATCCTAATTAGAAGGGAAATTTCAATAAATTAAGAAACTAATTATTCAACCATAATCAAACAACAATAACTTAGTTTTGTGCTTCCTTTTTTATTAATCCTAAAATTAACTTAGTTGTGTGCTTCCTTTTTTTATTCAATCATAATCAAAACAACAATAACTTAGTTTTGTGCTTCTTTTTTTATTAATCCTAAAATTAACTAGCCAAATTCAATTATTTTAGAATCTAAATTTAATCAACAATTTAATCAAATAAAGGTTCTTACTCACACTTGAATTCTACTAAGATGAGTTTAATTCTTTTAATGGGAAAAATTATATTGAAGTAGTCAACCACAAATAATTGAGGGAACCAATTACCCTTTAATTTGATATGTTTAATTTTCAATGATGAATTTTAAGATGATGACAATATATCACAAAGAGAGCTCCTAAAATAAGTTCATCAAAGATCTATAACGAATTAGTAGATAACAATATATTTAGGGGATCAACTCTAATTTCATAGGTCTAGTTTTCATTGACGAATTTTAAGACAAGGAAATGACATAATGTAGTGCCAAAGGGACATAATCAAGAATCTAAAGAAAAATATGGTAATCACTATTCTAAAGAAAAATATGGTAACCACTATTTTAAAGGCGATGGGCCTTCTTAGTGCCTCAGGCGCTAAGGTGAGGCGATCTTCTAACTTAGCACCTCGCATATTGCGAGGTGATGAAGGTAACTAAGGTGATCGCCTTTTGACGCCTCAAGAGCTCGCCTTGGCACCTCATGACATTGCCTAAGGCATGTAATGTAAGGCACGAGGTGTTTGCCTCTGTTTTAAAATTTTGAAGGTGCGAAAAGTGTCCACTAAAGTAAAGTTCGTTTTTGCTATTGAAAATTTGTGTTTTTTTTCTTGGACGATTTTTTGCTACTTTTCTTTTGTAATGTACTTTATTACCTATATCATTTTGAGGACATGCCACAATTTGAAACCTTAAAGTTCAAGGTTTGTTTCTTAATTATCTGAGTCAGCATTAACTAGTTAATATTACTATTCAATACTTGCTACTTACAACTTTATTTTAAATGTTAATGACTTATTAGATTTGTGACATTGAAAATTTGGATGTGATTAATTTGTCTTGTTTTTATTTATTGATATTTGTATAATATTTGTAATGTTAATGTATTTTTGGAATATTTATCGTCTTAGTTCACTAAGGCGATCGCCTTTTTTGGCGCCTCTCGCCTCATGCAACATAGGCACCGCCTTGACCTCGCCTTTTGCTTTTAAAACACCGATGCGACTCTTATTGCATTTCTTTGCAATAGTTATAACACTATATTAGAGAATTATTATGCATTTACTTTCATTATTCAAGTTAATATTTGCTCTTTTTTTTTATCAATAAGAGGTTCTTTAAGTGAATTTTCTAGAATTGAAGTTCTTTTTGAAGCTCTTTACTTTTTTCTGTCTTCCATTAACATTGTATTCAAAAAATATTGTATTTTTCACATGTTGTGCATGTGCATTTACCTAGTAACTGGAAGGAGAAAAAACTCCACATCATATCTTCATTTACAACATGTAGCATCCTTAAAAGGTAACAAATAAAAGCTTTCAGATTTAAATAAATCTTAAACGATCTCTGATTGACGCAAAATGAGTTTTTTTTCAACGGTAAAATCACTATATATATGGTGTCCATAACCTAAATCAAGAATAGACATCACTGATCACAACATAAAAGACATAGTGTACATATTAACTTATTAACTAAAATCCTCCTCTCCTGGATGGTGATCACAATAAAACAACAGCAACAAATGAAAAAAAGAGAGGTAAGGCCCAAAATACTTAACTCTATAGCATCCCTGCCTGTCCATTCTGTCTATGGATACACAGTGTTGACTTATGTTGACCATTGAGACTCCTTGAAACATCATATATTAAGGAATACATTCATTAGTTAGCATCTTGTTTGATGCAGAAGTTTCACCTATTAGAATGCACAAACCTCCAACATATTGTCCAAGTGATTAGTTAACACATAGCATTCTAGTACACCCCAAAGCCCAAATAAACTTCTATCAAACTCTATAATCTAGTAAAGCACGGCACTTTGAAAAAGTTGAAAAAGAATTAATCCAACAATGATGGACAGACATGCGAAGCAAATTCAACAACATCAAATAACAAAGTAAACATCAAGTGATCAAGTCTCATAAAGACAACTCATTCTAAGAGATTCAAAGCAAACCTATTATATACCTTCTGAGCATTATACAAATGCAAGTTTGAGTAGAAATCTCCGAGCTTCTGCCCTTCTGTCTTCCTAAACGACCTGCTCTCAGACGAAGGTGACTCCTGCGATGACTGCTCCATCCTCGTGCTCCGTGGCGACGGCGGCGGCAAGAAGCTCCTCATAGGATCAGAATGGTTGGGAGTCCGATGCAACTGGGTCTTCCCCTGCATCCCTGCAGGTATACTAACTGGCGAGGTCTCCAACCTCAACCTCGACTGCAGAGAATTTGCACTGCTTCCGTAAGCAGGCGGCGAAGGAGTAGGCGAACTCGACATCGGCGGTGATAGCCTAAACTCATCGAAGCTAAAAGTCCCCTTTTTATGAGACCCCATTGTCTTCTGACTCGGAATTTGATTCCTGTACACATCGATTGGTGATGATCTCCGCTCCGACCAGCTATATATGCAGGCCGGGGCTGGGAGGCGCGGAGCCCAGGAGAATTCAGCACGGTAGCCCCTCTAAGGGGTACGAAATCGCTGCTCCCGGATCCGATACGGATGCGAGCCCTGAGGCAGGCGAAAGCTGGAAAGCTCTCATCGATCGCAGCAAGGGCTGGCCGACAGTAATCGTTGAGTGATCATCGGCCGGCATTAGCGGACGAACCTCGAACATTGGAACTCCGAGAGGCTCGCGGCCGGTAGCTCAACCGACAGCGAGAGGTATCCGCATGGCGTGCTCGATGGGCGTGAAAGCGTAAACGCGAAGATCCTTCCTCGTTCCTCGAGAACGGGGCAGCAAAGAAGAACGTGGATAGCTGAGATCGTAGGTTTGTAGGAGTGATTCGAGCGAGCGAGCATTTTGAAGATGCCTGAAGAGGGAGAAGGCGGAGCACCGAGAGTAGAGACGCGGCAGAGACGACCGAGTTTTCTTGTAGGGACTTCGCGGTAGAGAGATGCCATCTCCGCCGGCGGCGGCGGGCGGAGGGAGGCGGCGGAGGCTCGGCAGGCGGGCGGTCCATCGGCTCGACGATGACGCATCGGGGAGAGGACGTCGACGACCATGGGGTCCATGACGCCATGGCTGGGGTTTTCGAGCGCCGAGGGGAGATCGCCGAGGGCGAGGTTGAACCAGCGGTCGCGCTTACGGGATCGGGTCGGATCCGTTAACGGTCGGGTCAGGTTGGGGATCCGAGACCCGAGGATGGCCTGGAGGGCTTTGAGCTGGAATTGGGTGATGATCTGCTCGGTGCGAGCGGAATCGGAGGGCTGAGACATGGCCGGATCTGGATCGGACGTTGCAGATCGGAGAGGGCTTGGGGTCTTGGATTCTAGGGTTTTGGGTCGGAGCCGTCCTCGTCGGAGGGCGGCATCACGATCTATCGCAGGACTAATGATGACAAGGGAGAGGGGACGATGGAGTCATAATTACTAGAGTTTGATTTTTGAGTTATCGGAGGACTAATGATAAGAATCCAGGATTAGTTAATTAATTAAGAGAGAAAGAGAGAGAGAGCGTGTGTGTGTATAAATTAAATTTAAAATTAAATTTAAGAGAGAGAGAGATTCTAGGGGGAGGGGGGGTTAATGGATTGATTAATGATGATAGCACAGGTTTGGTTTAAAAATTTGGATTAAAAAGGAGGATGGCGTCATCCTGGGCTTGCTAGCAAACGTGATTGGGCACGAATAGAAGAAACAAGGAGAAGGAAACTGGCTTCGAAAGAATTGTAGTAGAGCCCGGTTTGTTTGGTTTACGTACAGCTGGACTGTTAGTCTGACACGCAACGCTGCGCGGATGTTCAAGTACAGATGGCAGGCAACGGAGAGAGATGGACCTAGTTTCTGTGCTCGTAGCCTTGGATTAGATATTAGGGCGAGGTTGGTACAATAAAAAAAAGGGAAGAGGGTTGCCGTTACGCTTCAGAGCGACTAGGAGGTCGGCTCGGTTCGGTGGATGGACGCCAACAGAAGCAAACGAGAGCAAGAGAAATTAATATCTTACTTGTATTGGACAAATTTTCAAAACCGACCCATTTAGACTTTTATTCCCAAAAAACGAACTCATTCAAACAAAATTACAAACACCGACCTGGTTTCAGCCTCAGCGCTGAAACCAGGTCGGTTTTTTAAAAAAAAAATTTGAAACTTCACGGGAGTTCAACTCCCGTGAAGTTTAGTAGATTTGCTAAATTTCACTGGAGTTCAACGCCCGTGAAGTTTTATAGTTCAAAAACTTTTTTTTGAACTATGAAACTTCATGGGAGTTGAACTCCCGTGAAGTTTAACAGATCTACTAAACTTCACGGGAGTTGAACTCCCGTGAACTTTCGGGAAAAAAAAATCCAAAACCGACCCGGTTTCAACGCTGAGGCTAACAAGTAACACCAGGTCGGTTTTTGCAATTTTATTTGGATGAGATCGTTTTTTGGGATTAAGTTCACAAATGGGTCGGATTTAAAAATTTGTCCTACTTGTATCCGCATTTGATGGTTCAACTGAATAATATAAATTGTAATTTTTTAATAACTTGCTGCAAATTTATATCATGTTTTTTGGGGTGTAGGCGTCTAAAATTATCTACGAGAGCCCGCACGAAACTCAAAGCAATGAATGAGCGAGTCAAAAAGATTCACCTAATCGGCTCACGCGCGTCGCTTAGCGCACTCACACCATTCAGCCCGTGCGCGTCAAATCATCGCGTACGTCAAGCCAACTCGCGCGCGTCGGTCAGCGCGCGTACGTCAAATCATCGCGTGCACGTCAAACCAACTCGTGCGCGCCAACCCGCGCAACCGCGGGTCGGATTGGTCCGACCCGCGCAACCGCGGGTCGGATTGGTCCGACCCGCGCAACCGCGGGTCGGATTGGTCCGACCCGCGCAACCGCGGGTCGGATTGGTCCGACCCGCGCAACCGCGGGTCGGACCAATCCGACCCGCAATTGTGCGGGTCGGATTGGTCCGACCCGCGCAAGCGTAGGTCGGACTGGTCCGACCCGCGCAAGCGCAGTACGGAACCCGAAACGCGTTTTGACGGTTTTTATGCTGTTTTTGCAGGATTTATCTGTTCCAGGGGTTTCTAACTGACCTGATATCATCCCCAAACGTGGTTAGGCTGTTGTTAACTGAAGATAGAGCCAAATCACTCGTTCTCATCCAAATAACTGCTTCCGAAGCCCTATAAATACAAACCTAGGGCCTCCTTTCAGCGGGGGCGATTGATTATCAAGACGAGGAGGTGCTGCCGGATTGTGGAGTCAAAGGAGCACAAATTTCAGCGAGGGTTGACAGATCTTGGCGAGTTCTTCGGCATAAAGAAGGAGAGTTCGAGAGATCCGACGCCCGTTCACGTCCGTCCCTTGAGATTAGGCTTGGTCTTAATCTTGAGAAGAGCCCTGATTTCGCTTGGTCGATCTCAGCGCTTCAAATCAAATACTTCCTCGGTGGAGACGAAGCTCTGCCGAATTTTTTATCAACCGGATCCAGATCTAAGGTCGTCCACGGATAAACCCCGGCACAGGCAAAGATCCCATGCAAGCAGAAGACCGATAAACTATCTCTGCGTTTGTTTGACGAGAATTGTATTTTTTTTCATTTTCATTGTGTAAAAGTCTTATAAAAAGACTATCTTTTTGTTTTCATTGTAACGACCGAAGTTGTAATGAATACCGCAATGAATACATTAATTTTCGACGCAAACATGGGGTGAATAGCAATTGTAATTATGTTCGTGTGGGTACATACGTCCTGATATGATCAGAACTTCATAGGAGGGGCATCGAAATGAAAGTGAAGTACGTGGAGAGAAGGTAGATAACCAGAAATTAGTTTCTTATTTTCAGTATAGAAATTACACATTTAACATGAAAGTAAAGTACGTGGGAAAAAACAATTTATCGAAATTAATTCAGTATTGATAGTGACATTCTTTTGTGTGCAGCTCCCGTGAAGTATGTGGAGAGAAGGCTGACACCAGGTCAGTTTTTTGAAGAAAAAAAATCTGAAACTTCACGGGAGTTCAACTCCCGTGAAGTTTAATAGATCTGCTAAATTTCACTGGAGTTCAACGCCCGTGAAGTTTTATAGTTCAAAAACTTTTTTTTAACTATGAAACTTCACGGGAGTTGAACTCCCGTGAAGTTTCGGAAAAAAAATTCCAAAACCGACCTGGTTTCAACGCTGAGGCTGACACCAGGTCGGTTTTTGTAATTTTGTTTGAATGAGATCGTTTTTTGGATTAAGTTCACAAATGGGTTGGATTTGAAAAATTGTCCTACTTGTATCCGCATTTGATGGTTCAACTGAATAATATAAATTGTAATTTTTTAATAACTTGCTGCAAATTTTTATCATGTTTTTTGGGGTGAATAGCAATTGTAATTATGTTCGTGTTGGTACATACATCCTGATGTGATCAGAACTTCATAAGAGGGCCATCGAAATGAAAGTGAAGTACGTGGAGAGAAGGTAGATAACCAGAAATTAGTTTCTTATTTTCAGTATAGAAATTACACATTTAACATGAAAGTAAAGTGTGTGGGAAAAAACAATTTATCAAAATTAATTCAGTATTGATAGTGACGTTTTTTTGTGTGCAGCCCCCGTGAAGTACGTGAAGAGAAGGCTGACACCAGGTCGGTTTTTGGAAAAAAAATCCGAAACTTCACGGGAGTTTAACTCCCGTGAAGTTTAGTAGATCTACTAAACTTCACTGGAGCTTAACGCCCGTGAAGTTTTATAGTTCAAATTTTTTTTTTAAACTATGAAACTTCACGGGAGTTGAACTCCTGTGAAGTTTCAGAAAAAAAAAATGCCCAAAACCGACCTGCTTTCAACGCTGAGGCTGACACCAGGTCGGTTTTTACAATTTTGTTTGAATGAGATCATTTTTTGGGATTAAGTTCACAAATGGGTCGGATTTGAAAATTTGTCCTACTTGTATCCGCATTTGATGGTTCAACTGAATAATATAAAATTTAATTTTTTAATAGCTTGCTGCAATTTAGATCATGTTTTTTAGGGTGAATAGCAATTGTAATTATGTTCGTGTGGGTACATACGTCCTGATGTGATCAGACCTTCATAGGAGGGGCATCAAAATGAAAGTTAAGTACGTGGAGAGAAGGTAGATAACCAGAAATTAGTTTCTTATTTTCAGTATAGAAATTACACATTTAACATGAAAGTAAAGTACGTGGGAAAAAAACAATTTATCGAAATTAATTCAGTATTGATTGTGACATTCTTTTGTGTGCAGCTCAAAGGAAATTATTGCTTAAAAGTTTACATGTATTTTTGTGGAAATTAATTCTATGAAAAGAGTAATGTTTTATTTAATAGATGTGATTGAAATATTTGTTGCCATATTTTTTATATAAATAGTGCAAATATCTGAATTCGTGACTATTTATAATCCACATCGAATCATTTACCATTTGAGTCATATTTTATGGCCAC